AAGCAGTAAATTTTTTTTTTTTTTTTTTTTGTGGCGGAACCAGGGATTGAACTCAGGCCCTTGCGCTTGCCAGGGAAGTGCTTATTCCACTGAGCCATCTCCCCGGCCCTACAAGCAGTAAATTCTGATTTAAGAAAAATATATCATTCACAATGCCCAGAAAAGAATTGCCACAAGGCACACTTACTCTGGAATTGAGAGTGCACCATTTACACCTCAGTTCCAATGCCAAACTGTCCTCTCCAATCCAAACACATAGAAGAGTGGTAACCATGACACAGCTTAGAAGAACACCTGTATTGATTCAGAATCATTTTCTGGTTATCTGAAACCTACAGATTTTATTCTACCAAGACATAAATTTTTTCCATTAAATTCTTTAAACTTTTAACCTCTAGGTAACTAGCTAAAACTTGATGAACTAAAATAAGACTAAACAATGTTATCGGTTCTCCTAGAAGTATAAATAAACTACAGAGAACTAATCTAATCTGCAACTTCACTGAACAAGTATGTGCCAGCAGTCAGCAGAGTGACTTACCCCAACACAACACTTACAAACATAAGTTCTAGGGATGGCTATGGGACATCTGAAATCCATTTTTCTTGTTTTCTTATAAAAGCTAAAGGTTACGTGAGTCTTAAGCTGTTCTTGTGCAAACCTTAAACATCTGTATGGTGAATAATGTTGAGGATCAACCTGTTCTTTTCTCCTTATTTCTTGGAGAACATTTTTAAACAGGCTGAATGCTTTGACTTTTGTTAAGAATGTGTCTGAAATGATATTTTGGTTCCTCACTGAGAAAGCCTCAGTTTCCAAAGCTTAAAAATCCAAAGAGTTCAAAGACTCCCTTTTGGTCAACAAAATTGGTATTCTAAGGTTAATATTCTGGCACCCTACCAGCATGATCTCTAAGAGCTGCCTGATTAAAACCTTGGGTACTGTGCTGAGAATTTGTTATGATTGTGCTTTTGCTGTGTGAAATGACAAGGAACTACTTTTTCTGGTAAAGTGAGGGCAGGCAAGCATCACAGATAGACCAGCAGGCTCAAGTCAAAGCACAGAATTAAAGGTGCCCAGCCTAATCCAGCCTCCCAGTCAAGGTCAAAGACACTTGGCCACACTTCCAGACACCCTGATGTGCGTCTCAAATACAACAGGTTTTGAATCAAACCTCTAGAATTAGTCATGGAGCCTTAGGATGAGGTGGACCCCATGAGATCACCTTCCTGCTAGATGCATACTGTAGGAGAAACAGCCAGCAAGGCAGAGCTCATGAGCATGAGACTGGGGTCTCTCTGCCTTCTGGTCTTGGTTTCTCCACCCCTAAAGGAGTATCTGGAACCTCACATGCATGACTAGGGTCCTTCCAGATCCTTTCCAGGAGAACCTTCTCCACACACCTAAGGAGAAAGCCACCCCAGGTTCATAACAAGCACTGCAACCTCACAAGCAGGCTCTTTCTTATTCAGAAAAGAATTGTCCACTTAAACCATTCACTACTAGACGTAGTTTTAAGGTGCCCCTAAAACGTAAGTTTAGTTTAGCTAAAAATAACATTTTTATGTACTTCTCAGGACTATGTACAACCATTTTCAACTGCTTAAATTTTTTGCCCCTGTGTATGTTAATTTTCATTAAGAAAACCAGAACAAAAATAGTCGATATATATATTAAACAAAAATCCAAGGAAACAAATTCTAACGATCCTTAAAAAGTAAGTACCAACAAAGCAGAGGTTTTGTGGTATTATACTCCTTTATACAGTACCCCTCCCCCAACATAAGTAGGCCAGGGTTTCATATTGTTTAGTTTCTGTACACAAACTGTAACGTAAAGCAAATCAGCAAAATCTAGTGGATTGTTCAGTCTTTTTGAGACAGGATTTCATTATGCAGTTCAGGCTGGCCTTAAACTCACTGTGTAGCCTCGAACTTGCAGCGATCTTCCTGCCTCAACCTCCTGAGTGCCGAGATTTCAGGTGTGTGCCACCATGCCTGGCCTAAAATCTAGTTTTTAAAGTAAGATGCATGCATATTTTATTTACTTATTTATTTTTATTTTTTGTTTTTGGTGCCGAGGACCAAACCCAGGGCTTCCAGCTTGCTAGGCAAGCTTCCTACCGCTAAGCCAAATCCCCAGCCCCTGCATGCATATTTTAATGCAGTACTTTCCACTGGTGTCTCAGTGGCCCAGATACTAGAATGATATAAGAAAATAAATGACTGGGGAGCCAGGGAGATGGTTCAGTGGAATAAGCACTTCCCTGGCAAGTGCAAAGGCCTGAGTTCAATCCCTGGTTCCACAAAAAAAAAAAAAAAAAGTAAATAACAGATAATTACTTCTAGTTTCTGAAAGGAGAGACAGCATCATCTTGCTCTGGGCAGTTGAGTTCTGTTTAAATCAGAGAGAACAGTACGTGTGAATGAGTCTGCATTTAAGCCATTCCAGACTAGGTGTGTAATACAGTTACTTCCAGGCAAATTCCAAACGTCTGCGCCTTTAGAAGCAGAAATGCTGCCACGCCCTGCCAGCAGCCCCAGCGCAGACCCATTCCTTAGGAGGAGCAAAGCCTGCTGCAGGAGGCACCCAGGAGGGAGGCAGCAGTACCACGCTCTCCCGGTCCCCATGGGTCTGAGGGCCAGGGCTCGGTGTGACGGCAGCAATGAACTTGCCATTTAGAGCCTGTGAGTGAGCGTGCATGAGACTGAACGTGAACATGCGGGGGCATGTGTGAGTTTAGGGTGTCAGCACTGTGAGGGAGGGGTGAGCACGCCCAAGCACGCAGCAGTGAGGGGGAGAAAGTGTGTGTGTGTGTGTGTGTGTGTGTGTGTGTGCGCCCAGCTGTAGTGCAGGGCAGCCATGCAGACAGAAAAGGCTGAGTCCAGAAGAGAACTTGGCCTGGGGATCACAGCTGCTCAGAGAGTACAGGTTTAGGTTTCTTTACAAAACACAAGCTCAGCCAAGTCCAGTCAATGAAGATGTGGGGCCTTGTGTAGACAAAACATGTCAGAATCACTCAAGGGATTCTGCCTCAACAAGCACGTGCTTCAGTGTCACAGTCACTGGTAAGGCCCCTGCTCAAAATCTGCACATGAAGAAACTTTACTTATCGTACAACCATTCAACCAAAGCCCCAAAGTCCCTAGGATCCCTAATTTCCACTTGGTTACCAACCCTCTCCCAATGTGTCTGTGTGTGCGTGTGGGGACACACACACACACACACACACACACACACACACACACCACACATGCACGCACGCACGTGCATTTCCCCATCAGCCTTAGGGGATTTTTCCAAGGCTGTTCTGTGGGTGTCTAAAAACCTGTTTAAAAGTGACAGGACAACAGGCCACCCTCATTTCTACCTCTGGGCCTGTTAAGTCAGCTTACAAACACCCCTTATGCCTCTAGCTTCTTGGCTGGTATCTCTCTGGCAATGTGTCACCTGCCATTATTTATCTCCTCCTTAAGTCATTTCCAGACAAGACCTCTTTTCAAACCTCAGGACGAACAAACTGTTTTGATAACCAGCCAGTGAAGAGCTGCTAATCCACCACAAGAAAAGGCAAATGGAAACTTGGACAGCAAGTTAAAACGACTCTGAGTGTGCCAGCCAGGCTTTGGGGTTCAAAAGCCAGAGAGGAAAATGTGCCCAGAAGTGTCTCCTGCTTCTGGGCCCCTAGTTGTGGAAAGTGTGGACCAAATCTTCAGAGAGAGCATTATCCGCCTGCCCTGAACCAGCAACTATACCCGCCAGGTGCCCTGTTCCTTCTACAGTGGAGTGTCCACACCCGACAGCAGGTGTGAGGCTCCAGGACTCTATCCTGGCCACAAAATGCCAAGCATACTGGGCCTAGATTTTGCATACACATTTGCCTCCAGATCATCAGCAGAAAGCAGTCTCAGGAAAAGAAATTCAAACTTTCAGACTGTGATTTCTGAGGCAGGAGTTGGGCAGAAACACACTTCAGAGTCTAAAACTCCTTGATGAATGATACTGAGTGGAAATACAAAACACTTCCTTGAGGAAAAAGGTAAAGCAGGGCTGCTATACCAGCATGCACTTTCTCCCAAGGTAGCACTACAACCTAAAGCTAGGAAACTTCCCATGCTCTCTGGATAAGCTAAGAGAAAGGCCAGACTTAGAAGTGCTCACTCCAATGCTTACATCTTTTCAAAGACACTGTGATCCTAGCATGAAGACAGCCTATGACTGAGATTAACCATGTACCAGAAATAAAGTCCCATCCACTTTCACAGCCAGAACAAGATGTCAGTTTGAAGACCCCAAGCAGATGCCCACTAAAACCAACCTGAAATGCACCTGTCCCAACTCCCATCCCTTAAGCATTTCAGGCAACTAATAGAACATTCTGATGTGAATACAGCCTGATTAGCTAAAACATGGTTTTCACTTTCGTTCATACATCAGGCTGCACCTCAGTTACAGGGAGCACAATGACAATGCTTCAGCCCTGCCTAGCTGAGGCTTGGCAGTTGTACACTCAACAAACTAGCCACAACCACATCTCGGGCTTCATGGCCTACCACAGGGTCCATCTCTTATTCACCTGCTGTAGTAGTAGACTTGAGTAAATTTGATGACACTGTCATCATCCCTAATCACAGAATTAAGTATTTTAATTTATCATACAAATTCTAAATTCTAACAGCTCTGTCCCCTGTCTTTGAGGTTAAGAAGGAAATTTTTAGTGATCTTTATAAATATTACATTCCCAAGAAGAGTGGTGGACCTTTGGGAAGTACCTTCACCTGTTTTTTAAAATGGATATGGAAATAGCAATACAAGTGACTCACTCTCTAGCCCACAGAGTGCAGGGCCCAGGCAAAACATCTGGACAGAAATATTACTTGTGACAGCCCCAGGGTCCTGGGAAGTCTTCATGACTCAGCAGAAAGGCTAGAAGACCCGAGGCATTAAAGGCCTGCTGAAAGTAGCGTGCGCTCAAGAAAAACCTCAGAGCTACACTTACCACTCTGGGTTTCTGCTGGTCCAGGGTATGAAGAAAGGCTGCATTGGGGTCTAGGGTACGTTCAGGGTCACTGGAGATATCCTCTTCTGAATCTTCATAGGATGATGAGAAGCCAGTGGAGGAGGCAGAGGATGAGGACAGCTTTCTCAGAGGCAGGTTGCTCCGAGGGCTCCCGTGCATCTCCTCTAGGCTCCCATCCTCCTGGGTACCCATGTCTGTAATGATGACTGCAGGTATGGCAGGTGTGTTGCTGGGACTGCAGGCCTCTCCTAAGGAAGGATGGTCCTGGTCCAAGTGCAGCTGGTCGGACTTGGGGTAGGCATCTCTATCCTGCAGCTGGCTTTCCCAAGTCCCCTTCTTTTGTACACCTGAGTCTGGAGACCAGGCTGGGACAGCTTCCTCCATGGTGGGGAGCCAAGTTCTGGAGCCCCCAAGCTGTACACCCACCCCGTCCCCAGGAAGGCACTGGGGTTCTTTCAGGTCTTTCCCCAGTTCCCAGCAGGGTAAAGGTTCCAACATTCTGCCAGACGAAACACCCATCTCAACCTTAGTCCCTGGCTGTGCTGTGGGACTGCCCCCAAGCAAACCCAGCATAGGGGACCCTTCTCCCACTCTGTGGGGGACTGGCTGGGTCTCACAGCTCCTGGGGATCCCACTCCAGACCTCCCCAGCACCTATGGAACCCAAATGTCCAGGCAGCGTGGCACAGCTCTGGGTCTGGGATGGCTCTGAGCTCTGTGTATTCACAGTCCGCTCTTCTGGCTTTCCACTGACCTCAGGCACCCTGGAGCATGTGCTGCCACAGGGCAGGTCACCTTTCCCCACCTGCCCAGGGAGCTTTCCATCGCACTGGCCAACGGGCTCTGGGGCTGGGCTTGTCTCACTTCCTAGACACTGCCCTTGCTGCTCCACTAGGGACTCCCGGGGATGCAAGGCCCCAAGTTGACTGACCCACTCAGTCAGGACAGTGTCACATGGGTAGGGATGCCCCATGGATGTGGCTGTCACTGCTACTTCTGTGGCCATCACAAAGCTTGGTCCAACAGGCTCAGATATGGGAGCGCCACAGCTCGAATCGTCTGAATGAGGGCTGACCCTCTTGTCAATTTCCACAGCGAGGTCTAGCAAGTCAGTGCGGGGACAGACAGGTGGTCCCTTTGGCCTCATGGAAGCTGCTGGATTGTGAGCATCTGGTCCAGTCAGGATGGTCAGGCCCTGGAGGGGTGCCACTCTCTCCCTGTCCTTCCAAAGGCTCGGGCTCGCTCCTGGCCTCAAGGAGTCCACAACGGGAGTCTCTAGACACTGATCCCCCCAGGATTTTGTCCTCCGTTCCTCGATGGGGGGTGCCTGGGCCAGGCCCCTTTCTGGAGGCTGGCTGCTGCTGCGGAAAGGACTCGGGGAGGGCGAGCGGGCCCGACCTAGGCGAGGGCTGCGGGGCGCCAGGGTGGCAGCACTCTGGGCCTGGATGTGCGCCTCAAACAGGCCCACTTTCTGATTCACCTGCACGTTCTGCAACTCACGCTGCAGAATTCGCAGTTTCCTCTGGGCCTCCTCCAGGCCCGACGGGGTCAGGGCTTCAGTGGTCGCCCCTTGCAGCCGGTTTCCCCGCAGGCGCCCCGGGCTTCTCACGCTGCCGCCACTGCTCAGCCTGCGCCGGCCGCCGGTGCTTTGCGGTTCCTCCGCCGGCGGAAAGAGGAAAGAAGCCGCCGTCCCGGGACTGAAAACGCTGCCGGGGCTCGGGGCCCGGGGCGTCTCATTGCCGCTGGGCCCCAGGCCGCCGCTCTTCGCCTCGCTGGCGCTGTTCATGACCATTAGGCTGTTGAGTGCACAGCAGGTCACGGCCATAGCCCCGGGTCCGCTGCGCCGCCCGCCGCCGGCGCCCGCTCCCCGCGTGGCTCCCAGCTCAACCCCGCAGGCCCGGCGGCTCCGAGCTGGGACCGGGACGCATGGCCCGGGCGGCGGGCGGGGGGCACGGCCGCGGGCACAGCCCCCGCCCAGAGCTCCATAGACGCCGCGCAGCTGTGGAAACACAAGGAGAAAAGTCAGGGCCCCAGAGCGCGCCGCGCTGAGGTGGGGCAGCCCCCGGGCCCAGCTCTGCTGGGGACAGGACGGCCCTGGGCGCTCTGGGGAACAGGCTCCCAGCTGACGAGGTGGCCGGCGGGACTACGCCTTGAGCCTCCCCAGCGCGCGCGCCCGCTCCAGCCTTCAGCCTGCCGTGAGCGTCGAGGACCCTGCAGATCCCGAGTAGGGAGGTTAGTCTCGGGCGCCGTGCGCACTGGTGGCGAGGGAGGACGCACAGCTCTGAATCCCCATGCGCGCGACACCACACGGCCATCAGGTAACGGACAGCTCCGCTCCACCCTCTGCCCTCTCGGGAGCTCCAGACCCAGTCGAGCGGGGCCCGCCTTCCCCAGCCGCCAGCGCCGGGCCCGGGAGGCTCCTGTGTGCCCGCGGTTTACCTTCCTGACCCTGCACTTCGGGCTGGATCTCGGCCTACGAAGGCCTGGGACAGCGGTGCGGCTGCAGCCCGAGCATTTTCTAGCAGCAGCCTCGGCCGGTCTTAAACAAGTGTTTTGTGAGAATGGGCACGCCTGCGCGTGCCCGGGGCCAAGGTTCTGCCGTACCCCGTACCGAAACCAGTGCTGGCTGCCCCCTGCTGCCGCCCCCCGCGGAGTGTGTTGGGGGTGGGGCGCTCCCTGCTCTGAGAGCCGCGCCCCAGCACTGAGCGACTGCTCCGCCAGAGTGCGGCCGCCGGGACCGCCAGGTGCGCGCGGCCCGCAGTTGCAGCCTCCCGGGCCCGGGCCTCTCGCCCTGCCTCTCTTCAGCCGGCGGAGCCCGCCGCGCCTGTGCGCGCCGAGAGGCGGCGCGGCGCGAGCCCGGAAGGCGGCGGGAGGGACGCTGAGAACCCTGCCTTGCCTCGCTGCCCGGGTGCCGCGCACCCCGTTGTCCCCAGACCGGCCCGGCGCGCAAGCGGAAAGACGGTTCGGGCGAGGGCCGGGAAGGCGCCGCCGAGCCTACCTGCAGTTTCTCAGACTGGGGGTCCCATGCAGACTACATGCCCAAGAGACGTGGAACTCAGAGGGCCGGATGGCTTTAAAAGTAAAAACGCTCAGAAATGACTTCCTCAACAATCTATGGAAGAGGAAAAAGAGGAGTGCGACAGCGGGCAACCCGGCGATCCCAACCGAGGCGAAGAAGGCCGGCCTCGTCCCGGCGGAGATACCACCCCTGTCAGTCTGCTCAAGCTGCGCCGTGTTTGTTCAATGTACGATTCGGAAAAAAAAGTTGGGGGGGGGCGGGGGAGGGGGAGGAAAGCAGGAAGGAAGTTGTGAGCCTGTCTGGGGTTGAACTCAGCGGAACAAGTTTTTCTTTTCTTTTCTTTTTTTTTTTTTTTTTTCTATTGCTTGGCAAGACCGGGGAAGGGAAACACTTTTTTAAAAAAAGTTTCCATTGTTAGCTAACAAGGAAAAAAAAAGCCTTTAAACTTCTGCGAGTTAAAGATACACGATTCATTTTCCACCGCTCCATCAAGGCTACCTAATAATGTGTAGTTTTATGAAACTACTTCTCAAAAAAATGTTTTTTAATAAAATTTTGAGTGTGCGGTTCTAAAACAAAGCAGACCCTTAAAACATTTAAAACAGGCTAAAGCTGTACAAACGGCTTGAGACCTTGCACACAAATATGCAAATTTGTAGAAGATATCTTGTAGGCACCTTTCCCAGGTGCAGACTTAAGTGCAGCAGGCAGTGCTTTGGAAGACTGCTTGGGCTGGGAGCAGCTGCAGGCTCTGCAGTGCACCCCATAGCTGTGCAGACTCATCATTGCATTGCATGTGTATGCACACGGCAAGTGGAACATTCACATATTTGTGTTTAATTAGCATAATACTGGAAGTGGGGAGGCCAGATCATGGTCTGAACCCTGTTTTCCTCGAGGTTCTGGAGACTGGATATTTTCAAGATATTTCTCCGTCATCACCAGCCAAAATGAGGAAGGAGCATTAAACGACAATGAATGGACAGAGCATCCTACCTCCTAGTTAAAGTAGTGGCACTGCGTGTGTTTTGCATTCCCTAAACCTTAAACTACAGAATTTACTGGAAACAGGGAAAACACAGCTGCAAGTTTGAGGAGATTTAAAAATCCAAAGCCTGAATCAGTTCTTATCTCCTGATGAGCTAAAATTCAGATGGAAATTTTGACTTTGCTTGTAGCAAACAGATCTCTCACTTGTTTATGTAACAACACTGTCAAGGGAGCAAGCTATCCCAGGCTGGATCAGGAAAGGGCTCTAGGCAAACTTGAAACCAAGAGAGCTAGTCCTAGCCAAGAATTCCTGGGGATCAGACCCTGTTCAATCCTCCTGATTGTGTAAGACTTGCCATGAAGGGATGGAACCTAATCCTGGTCTTCTGCCCTATGAAGTGAAATAAAAAGAGCTGAGAACTTACTCAGGGGTCAGTCCAGGCTCTGGGCAACTCCTAGGACCGAGAAGCCAGCCTTGTCCTTCCCCAGCTTGATTCCTTTGGATACGGAAGAGGAGCTTGCCAGTTCTTAGTGGATCTAGGGATGCCAACACCCAAGGCAGGATCACAAAAACTTAGCTTTCCACTCAGGGAACCCTCACTATCGCCTCACGGCCAGACATCATGAGCTTTTTCTAGCAGAGAAACTGGCTTCCTGAATGTGCACTCAGCCTCAAGAACTCTTGGTCCAAAGGCAGCCAGCAGCTGTCAAGTGTGACTTGCCTTGAATGATGGGTAGATGACAGTTCTACCAGTCACAGGTAGCACAGGTTGTGGAAAAGATGACAAAAACCTCGCGTCTGGAAACCAGAAGGGTGTGCTTGCATCCTGAAGCAGAATCTAATTGCCCTACCATGATTTAAAATTAAAATTAAAAATGTTTATATAGGACTCATTGTTTGTTCTAGGCACAGTGGGTATATAATGTTCTAGACACATTACAAAGACTTTTATGCATTTTATCATAGAAAACCAATGAAGTAGGTATTATCATCAGTCCTATTTTGCAGAAATGAAAGCAAGAACACGTAAATTAATTGTCCAAAAATTCCATGGCTGGTAATTGGCAAAACCAGGACCAGAGCCTAAGCAGTCTAAATTTATAATCTATGCTGTTTCTACAGCTCTCTATGCTTACTGTCTGCAACGGTACAAGAGATTTGCCTGACTTTTTAGGAGTGACTTTGCCCATGTTTTGAATGGAATTTTAAAAACCAGACCTACAAAATTAAGAATGCATACTCAGGAGCTGGGGAGATAGCAGCATAGGCAAAGTCCTGATACTGCATGCTGTGCTGGCCCTGGAACTGCACATGCCTATAGTCCCAGCACTGGGGAGGCTGAGACTGAGGATCGCCATGAGTCCGAACTGCATAGCTAAACCCCGTATACAAAATAAATAAATAAAATAAAGCAGTTAATTTGGTAAGTGTTCATAGCCTTCTTCAGAGTTGGGCCCTAATTTTCTCAGATTCTGGAGGGTCACAAGGATGAACTGGGCAGATATTCTAGGTGTCCATCTGGAAGCTGAGTTTAGGGAAGACACTTGTAGGGCTAAAGAACCGTGGCCTCAACCCTGAGACAACTAGGAGGAGCAGTTTTGTTTTGTGTGTGCCTGTGCCATGATCTTGTTATATAAGGATACCAGTCATTTTGGAATAGGACCCACCCTGATGACCTCACTTAACTATAATTACCTTTTGGGGAGACACCAGGAATCAAACTTAGGACTTTGTGCTTGCCCGGCAGATGCTGTGCCACTGAGCTATACCCCTATCCCTGTAATTATCTTTTAATAAAGCCCATGTCCAAATACAGTAACATATACCCTGGAGTTAGGACTTCAACATACAAGTTTGGGGGAACATATAAATTCAGCTCAGGAAGGCAAGATTGCAGGCTACAAGATCAATATACCCAAATCAATTTTATTTTCATGTACTAGCAATGAATAATCTGAAATAAAATTGTTAAAACTAGCAAAACTTTTAAAATAACATCAAAAGTTTAATGATGAAAACAAGACCGTGCAATACCTGGAGAGAAAAAACTTCAACACAGTCTGAGAAAAATCAAAGAGCTAGGTAAATTGGTAGATTATGGTCATGAATTGGAGGTCTCTATTGTTAAGATGCCAATTCTCCCTAATTTATGTATAGATTCAGTGAGATCACAATCAGTATCATGGCAGGCTTTTATTTTGTTTAATTTACCTTGTTCTTATTTCGTAAAATTAGCTGAGAAATGCAAATGATCTCAAATAGCTAAAACAATTTTGAAACAGAACAAGGTAAAAAGACCAACTCTATCTGATGTCAAGACATGTTATAAAACTGTAGTAGTCAAGACTGTGTGTTACTGACATAAAGTTAGTCACAGGGACAGAATATATGGTCCTGAAATACATGTATATACTAGAAAATTTATTTTTACATGGGGTAGGAAAATGGAGAAAGAAGGTTTTGACAAATAGTTCTGCAACACTGACTATCCATATATGGAGACAGAAGGAGAAAGAAAGGGAAAGAAGTTAAAGAAAAGAACTTCAACACATGTCTTATATACAAGAATTAATGCCTTTTGGCTCTCTGAGCAGCACCATGGCGGTAGGCAAGAACAAGTGCCTTACGAAAGGCGGCAAAAAAGGAGCCAAGAAGAAAGTGGTTGATCCATTTTCTAAAAAAGACTGGTATGATGTGACGGCGCCGGCTATGTTCAACATAAGAAATATTGGAAAAACACTCTTCACCAGAACCCAAGGAACCAAAATTGCATCTGATGGGCTCAAAGGTCGTGTGTTTGAAGTGAGCTTTGCTGATCTGCAGAATGATGAAGTTGCCTTTAGAAAATTCAAGCTAATTACTAAAGATGTTCAGGGCAAAAACTGCCTGATTAACTTCCGTGGCATGGACCTCACCCGGGACAAAATGTGTTCCATGGTCAAAAAATAGCCGACCATGATCGAAGCTCATGTTGATGTCAAGACTACCGATGGTTATTTGCTTCGACTGTTCTGTGTTGGCTTTACTAAAAAACGCAACAATCAGATACCGAAGATCTCTTATGCTCAGCACCAGCAGGTCCACCAGATCCTGAAGAAGATGATGGAAATCATGACCCGGGAGGTGCAGACAAATGACGTGAAGGAAGTGGTCAATAAACTGATTCCAGACAGTATTGGGAAAGACATAGAAAAGGCTTGCCAATCTATCTACCCTCTTCATGATGTCTTTGTCAGAAAAGTAAAAATGCTGAAGAAGCCCAAGTTTGAATTGGAAAAACTCATGGAGCTTCATGGTGAAGGTAGCAGCTCTGGAAAGGCTACTGGAGATGAGACTGGAGCTAAAGTTGAACCAGCTGATGGATATGAACCACCAGTGCAAGAGTCCGCTTAAGATCCAGATTTTTAATAGTGATAAATAAAAGTCCTATTTGTGAAAAAAAGAATTAATGCATATCTAAATGTAAAACCATAAAAATTTATAAAAATATAAGAGAAAATCTAGGACCTTGGGATAGACACCTGTTTCTTAGAAAGAACATGAAAATTTACTGGACTTGATCAAAATTTCCAAATTCTACTACTCTGCAAAAGATGCAAAAAGAAGGAAAAGGGCCTGTGGTGTATCACTCTCCTATCATATGCAAAGTCCTGAGTTCTCCTGGGAGAAAAAAAAAAGAATGAAAAAACAAGCCACAGACTGGGAGAAAATACATATAAGGAACAATATATATATCATATTTGAATTGATCTAAAACTAGAAGCAGTCCGAATATCCATCAGAAAGCAAATAGATGAGCAATTCATACTACTTCTACATACTGAAAAATGACTTGCCAATACAAATATGTTCATTATCTTGAATGTAAATATAATTTCATGGTTATATAAATATGTGAAATTTTTCAAATTATAAAATGTTAAGTATGTGTGATTTAATACATACACACAAATACATATATCAGTTAAAACTCAATGTAGTATTATAGGCAGATACAGACTTTGCTGAAGATGTTATCGGCCCCTGTTGTAGTAAGGGCACTGTTTCTGATATATAATGACCTTTCTGGGTTAGTGT